ACCCACCAAAGAATCTGTACTGATTTTCCCTCAATGATCAGGAGGAAAATAGTTAATCGTTTAGCTTCTTTTTTTTTTTTTTTTTTTTTAGCCCCCAAATCACTATTTGCTGGCAGGTTTTTGGCTTTGGCTGATTATTTTTTTTTTTTTAAATTTTGCTGCATTTTTGGCTGAAAACTTTTTGGCCAGGCATTGCTAAAGACTTCCATTTTCGGCCTAAAATTCCCAGTTTGGGACTGTTGGGTTTTGTTTGCATGTTTGGGTTTTCTTGGATGAAAAAGAGAAAATATTGTAGGGGAGAGTAATTTGAAGACAGAAGTCATTCCCTGCGAATAGGTTTGTTTAATTAATAACCCCATTTCTGCTTGAAACAAATTTTGATGGAAATTCTCCGACTATCACTACTATCCAACCACACTGAGGCTGACGAGGCAGCAGCTCTCCTCCGTGCTGTTTATATTAACATACGCAATGACTTAGATCCCTGCAAATTTGCAGAGAGCTCTGCATTATTCAAGTGTTGGAGGAGGCAACAACAACAAAAAAAAATGATCCATGGTTATAATAAAGTGCCTGCTATCTCTTGTTTCTATTAATAGCTCCTTTATAGCCTAAATGTTTATATTGGAGTGGGATGGGGGGGGTTGCACAGACCCTGGAAGGATAAATTAATTGTGCTGGGCCAATTACCACCACTGATACATGGCTTTTTCCCAGCCAGATGAGGGCTCCCAGCTCCAATGATTTTGTGCTGGATGGGGAAAATGCCAGTGAACTGGGTAAAAATGCTACTAGGGGCATTTCCAGAAAGATGGAACAGCACTGCAGTGGTTTCTGTTCTGTCTTTTGGCTGGAAAGGGTTTAAACCCAACGGTTGGTTTCAACCTCTCATTTAAACCCAGTGGTTTGAACTCAACGATTGGGTTCAGCCCTTAATCAAATGAAAGGCTGAACCCAACACAGCTAAACCCTGCCATGGTTTAGTTCTCAAACACTTCTGCATGGGGAGAAAACCCAGTCTGTCCCCATGAAGAGCCCTGCTGCTGTCTACAAGCTGTGGTATCTGCCCTGCTCCTTGTAGCTAAATGTTTGTGCTTCTCTGTTTTGTTTTTTATTTTCTATTCAAAGGTGGGCCTTAATGTTCTGGTTCAGAGAGCAAACAAATTTACCCCTGCCACTCGTCTCTTGATCCAGAGGTTTGTGCCATTCCCTGCAGTCGGTAAGAAAGAACACCTTTTCTCTATAATCAAAGTGTTGGCTTTAAATCTGCTGGTGGATAAAAGTCACTGGGATGGACACCTAACTCCTGCCTTCTTGCTTTACACCATCACTGCCTGTCAGGCAGGTCCCTGAGTCGGTGCAGACAGAGATGGGATGGTGGAAAGCAACATTTCAGCAGGAAATGATGCAAAGCTGCTGGCAGCGGCAGCTCGGGAAGCTTTGTCAAGCTCCACTTTCCACTCTCAAGCAGTTTGAAGAATGATCGTCATTGACTGTCCAAATTTGAGAGCATTTGGTTTGATTTTTGCAAGATTCCACTGCAAGATTTGGTTTGAATCATGTAAAATCAAGTCTTTGAATAAGTGCTAGCATCGGGTGTTTTATTTTTAAAAAAATATGTAATGAAATGCTCCTACTCTGAATATACAGATTTCTAAGAGCCACTGATTAAAAAAAGACCAAAGTGCCTGAAGAATTAAGGGTGCTGCTGGCTTGTTGGAGCACAAAATAAAGCCTTACGCAGTGTATCAGCATCATGCTCGGTGTTTGAGGGAAGAGACGTGGTGGACTCAGCCTTTGCTGAACCCCGTTACAACATTCAGCAAATAATGAGTTATTTTAGCTATGAAGAAATCGCCAGCCGTGTAAGGGTAATTTTTTATATACGTTTGCTTATTTATAAAGGCCCTAGGTGGCTGGGGCTTCTAAAAGTTTTTTCTGCTGGAAAAACAACTGTTTCCCCTGTCTGCAGAGCAGGGGGTAACAGGGACTGTAGATTGCACTCAGTCTTTTTTCTGAGCACTTTGGCTCTATACAGGGAATCTGTGGACATTGTTATTGGTTTCCTGGAACTTTCCTGGAATATATTTTTAGAGGGTTTCCGCTTTCTTTTGATTTTATAATCAGGAGGGCACCAGAGGTGAGTGCAAGACCCGGGAGGCAGTTCCGAGGCTGGGTTTGAGTCAGAGATGCACGCGGGAAGCCTTTGCCACCGTGCTGATCTATTTTCATACCAAGGTGTAAGGAGAAAGAGGTTACACTTGTGTCAGCATTGATTGAGGACCCATAATTAAGTTGTTTAGCCTGTAATTAATTCTCTAGTTCTTATTTTATTTGTCTACTGTCATGCTTTGTTATGTGCCAGGGCATTAGGAATCCTCCTGCTAATTGCTGTTCTGTGGTTTTGAAAGCTGCAAGTTACTGGTTTGCAGACCTGGGCAAACAGTTTAATTAAGATGCGTCTTCCTGTTGCTTTTCAATGACCAGCTCCCAGCGAAAGGGCAAAATTTCACCTTCTATGTGAAAAGCCAGACACTGGTGTAAAGCTCTTGCTCCACTACCATATTTAACATAAATGGCCATATTTAACATAAGTGGTCCCTCCTTGAAATCCTCTTTCACTATGGGACCCCGAGGTGAGTCGGGGCACAGGGTTGTATCTGCAGGGGCCCCCAGACCTCACTTGTGATAACACAGATTGCGGCCACTCATGAATGTACCCAGGTAGATGGTGCAGGTTCCCATTGCTCTGATCCCCATGTTGTGGCCAGTGGCACTGGAGCAGGGTGCCAGAAGATCAAGCTGCACCTTTAGCCTCCACCAAAGGTAATTTGTGGTAGCTGAAAATCATAAGCTGTCCAAAAAATCCTCCCCAGCGCCAGGGGACACACCTAATAAACCATCCTGCATGGGAAAGCTGATGGAAATGGTCAAGGCTCTGCCTACCCAGTGGCTGGCTTGATGCAAAAGGGGCTCATGCTTGATATTGGCCACCCCTACGCATTGTCTGGACAGTGAAGTTGTTCTCCGTGAAGGTTTTCATCACAGGAAAAAGGAAGGAGTGTGTCAGCACTTTGTTCTAGAGAGCTGTGGTGCTGAATTTGAGCAAGAAGGGGCCAGACCCTTTCTTGGAGATGTAGGGGGTGAAGGACATCAATGCCTGGGGTTATTGCAAAGAATCCAGAGTACCCACTTCTTCCCCAGCACTGAGTGTGGATAGCTGTCACGAAGGTCAGCGGTGTTGCTGGTGATGGTGTACTTTATACTGCAGATGTGTGTGACTAACAAAAAACCACAGAAACTCCCCTAAAATCCAAAAGGTGGCATCCCAAACCTGAACTGAAGGAATTTAGAGCTGGTAGAAAGATACCCTTTGGAGGAAAGGGAGGTGAGGAGGAGGAAGGATTTCTTCTCCTTGGGCTTTTTTTTTTTTGTGGGTGGGGTTAAAATTGTTAAATGTGTTTAGGTGGTGTGCAAGGGCGTATTTAGTGCGTGGAGAGCACCCTGGTTTAGAAAGGATATTTATATACACATAGAACTAGGGTAGTGGGTTGCTTTTGTATCTGAACCTAGTTTCCACCGTGTCACTAAGTGTTTTCACAGAAGTATTTTCCAGCCTGTATTACCACAATTTATTTCCAAATTCTGAAAATCAAATTATCTACACATATATTTATTTATTTCTCATCTCCCCCATGTATTTGAGACTTCCATAAAATCCAAGTTAATGCATAATGAGCAGCTTCTTCTGCTTTCTGAGTGTTTTACTGAAACAGAGCGGGAGCAACTAGGACAGTTGCTTGTCTCAGGCAAACAGGCTGGAATCAAGTTTTGAATTTGGGACCCAGGCAATGAAGCCCTAGTAGGATCCAGAGATTTAGAGAAGCATCTAGGTGTAGTGGGAGCTTCAGGTCTGGACTGACTCTTGCAAGAGCCTTGTGCTGATGCATCCTGACTTGGCCAGAACATCTCTGCTGGTGTGTTTTTATATGTTCAGTCTTGACTGAAAGCTAGAAGGATGGGGCATGTGAGTGTTAAAAAAGAAAACAAAAAAAAAGAGGGGCTAAACTTGCTTTAAATGAGATGCCTGTTTTCTGTTTTATCTTGGATTAGGGAACTGAAGGGTTGGTAACACAGATATTTTGATAGATGAGAACAGTGGTCCGGTAGTTTGAATATTAAAGAGAGAGACAGAGTGTGCGTGTGTGTATGTTCCTCTTATTCTTGAGTGTAAGGAGCATTTGTCACCACAAATCATCCTTGATTGCAGAGAGCTGCATTCGTATAGGGCTCACCCACCCACCACCCTCAAAAAATTAGACATTTGTTATATGACATGAATTGAGATTAATTAGCGAATATTAACCCATCAAGCAGTACAGAAACACATTTTTGGAAGCAGTGGTACTTGCAGCAACAGTGGGTTTGTGTTAGTTCTGGTTGGAAAGTTTGCAACAAAATGTGGTGGTGGGGGGAGAGTGCTGCAAAATGCCAGTTTATCAAAACCAAAACTTTTGTAGGAATTAGTAGCTTTTCTTTGGAAAAATTCTGGGCCCTGGAGCTGTATCTCAGAAGGTTCCTTAATCCCAAGTCTAACACATTACTTGAGGAGCAGAATTTGGGGTCACCTTGAAAAATCTACAAAAGCCACAGGCTGGGCAAGGGGAAGCTTGTCAGAAAGGGTCCCAGAGCTGCCTCTGCCTCCGCTGTGAGTGCAGGGCTCGTATTTGGGAAATGTGACTGTTGGGAACCAGAGTCCTCCAAAGTGCTGCTGGCTTGTGCCACAGTTAAGAAAAATATTGTTAAGGTGAACAAATAGGTCTCTAATGGAAAATAAGTCCACAGATCCATTATTTTTCCCCACCAAAACCTGTTAAATAAGGGCAAATAGTCAGCAAGACCCCTACTAATGAGACACATGTCTGTTCAAACAACCCAAACTTGTCTCATTTGATCAAAAAAAATAATTCTGTCCTTTTTAAGAGCTCATATCTAAGCTGTCCTTCATAGCTCAGTGAAATCCCTTACAGTGTATTTCCATCATACCTGAAAAAATCCATTATTTAAGAAGAGTTTGTCTGCTGGCTTTGTAAGGGGATTTAAAACCAGCTCTGGGATATACCATCAGAAGAGGCAGCTGTCAATCAGCAGTGCCTGATTGGCCAAGACCAACCAGTAGCCCAGCGCAGGGACATGTTGGACTTAAATCAAAACATTGGGTGAAGAATCACTATGGGAGTTGAGAGCATGTCTGAACACCAACATTTGGAAATACTGGTTTTTCTTTGCATCAATATGTTTCTGATTGTGGCAGCAGACCCTTTTACAATTAAAAGAAAATTATCTTGATTATTATTCTTCTCCTAAGAATCACATCTTTGTCTTGGTATAAGAGTGGCTCCTTGACTTGCAGAAACTTCTTGGCAGATTGATGCAGGCAAAGCTGAAGGGCTGTCGCGGCGAACAGAAGCCTGCCATTTGGTATTGACCAGGGCTGCGTTGCTAATCATCATGCTTTTCTCATCCTCAGCTAGTGCCAATATCTGCAATGTTGTCCTGATGAGGCACACAGAGCTGGAAGAAGGAATTGATGTTTTGGACAATAACGGAAACATTGTCGGGTCTTCCAGAATTGCTGCAAAACACGTATGTACCTGTGATGTTCCTGGCGAACACTCGGGTGAGCTTGTACACAGCTGCCCTTCAGGCTCAACGAATCCCACAGCCATAGGAACTGATGACTTGAAAGAGCTAGAAATAGATGAGCTTTACCCATCATGCGGGGAGAACGAAGAGGCAAAACTTCATGCCTGCTTTGTACCCACGCGTGCAGTTGCGCAGCCGCAGAAGTGGCTGAGTGTGCTGGCGGGCACAGGCTCGTGTCACGCAGGCAAATTCGGTGACTGACCTTGGTGGTTTGGGAAGGATGTAGATTGACATCAGAAGACCCTGTACTACTCTGATACATTCACAGCCTTAGGATTTCTTTGTGGAAACTAGTAAGCGGTTCATGTTGAATATGAAGCAAAGATAACTTACACCTTTTTCTAAATGAGCAAGACTTCATTTTCGAGCTGAGTAGCTTTTTAACCCTTGCCATGTCAAAACTGCATTAACAATTGCCAGCCAAAGCTTTGTGAGGGTAGCCAGATGTTTTTGTCCTTGTCCTAACACCTGGTGTGTTTTCCCCTGTAACCTTCTACCCTCTGCCATCTGCCTGCAATTATTGCCTTTTATTCCCTTCTTACATAGTTTTGTCTTCTGAGCATCATCTGATTGAGGCATGTTGTTTCCAAGTGGGCTTTAATCTGAAATGTAAAGCATGTACCGAAGCACACGCCCAGGCAGAGGAGTTAATAATATAATGCTTGGCATTTCTCTCGCTCCTTCTGTCCAAGGCTCTTAAGGCACTTCGTAGACAGCAATTAATGTACAGATTTACAGTCCTCGGCAAGAAATGGGAGATCTCTAATATCTCTCCATATTGTTGTTTAACAGGGAGCTTAAAACAATCTGTTGAAGGGCTCAGAGATACTTACTTGAGCCAGTTTTCCTTACTTGCATTAACTGGCTTCAGGACCCAGCTTCCCCTCTCCATCCTAATGGTCGAGGGGAAGACAGACAACATAGAAAATAAATATTAAAAATTAAAGTACTGCAAGTGTGATTTAGATGAAGTTTAAACATCAAATTTGGGACTTCTGAGAACTTCTGCTCAGCTTCCATCTAATCCCAATGCTTCTTCCCAAATAGCTTAGTACTGGGTTTTGTCATGTAAAATTTGGCAGATCCTTAGTGTAACACATCTGTGCCTTTCTGAGACCTTCTCCCAGTTTGGAAGGATCAAGTGCTCCCAAGCCTGGCCGTATGCGTAAGTTTCAGCATTCCCATCCAAAATTTATAGTATCTTCTGCTTACATCTATCAAAGCCCCACGTGTGGTCTCAGTGCTTGGGGAATCCCAGGTGGGTGCTGGCAGGTGGTTGAACAAGGTACATGACGACACAGTGTGACCTTGCTAGAGCACCCATGATCTTCTCTGAGTCTCATCTCAGGGGATTTATACGTATCATGCTGCCAAGCTGTTCTGTTTGCAGCTTCCTGGTGAATCTTGCCAGGGAGAAAGCAGAGGGACAACCGTAGCTCCACAGTTGGTGTCTTCCTGGGAGAGGAGAGCACTGGGTGTTACGATGCTTTGCAATAAACCACCAGTGATTAAAAAACAGAAACAAGTCTTGGAGCAGGCAACAAGGTGCTGCATTTCCCCAGCATGTAATTAAAATTGAAACTCAGTTGAGGGAGAACAGGTTGAAGCTGCTGCTCAGCCCATACTGAGATATTTCACCTTACAACGTCTTCCAGGCAGCTATTTTGCCTCTCTTTCCAGGTAGCACTAACATGTTTCCATAGGAATATGACAGGATGCTTGAGCGCTTTTGGTCACATGAAGTGAAATCAGGGATACTATTAGGTGTCTCTGTTTATTCTGTTGGATTTGTCACCGAGCCTGGGCTCCAGCCCATCGTTTGTAGCAACGGAGTGCAAATAGGTTGTATACAAATAGCTGATAGCAAAGTTGAAAGTGTGTATTGACACATTCATTCACATACGCAACAGAAGAAAGGCCAGCCAAACTATTTCTGTGCCCACGCGTTGATTGCTCAGCGCAGGTACATCCTGAGATTTGTTTTAAATGTCTTGGGTTTGTTTGTTTGTTTTTCCTTTTCAGGCACTGCTAGAAACAGCCCTGACTAGAGTGGTCCTGCCAATGCCTATACTGGTTCTACCTCCAATTATTATGTCCATACTGGAAAAGTAAGTGTTGGGTAATATGAAGGGGGAGGGGGCTTCTCAAGAGGGGGGCAGAAAAGATGCTCAGTAGGTGTTATTCGTTGATGTTTCTTATCTTTGGTCCTATCAAAGAGGGTTTTTTGCTTATTAAAATGTTTGTGTTCCAGCCTTTTTGACCGTTGTTGTAGGCTGTTAAAGCTATATCGATGCGGTTATTTTAAATCATCTTTCTGAGACCCCGACAGTTTGAATAACCTTATTCAGGAGGATCAGTGTGAGCCCAAACTCTCTGAATTCAGTGGAAAAGTGTCTCCATAAGGTTTTGGTCCTCCATTTAGCAAACGTGAGAGCTGCCATGTGGGGTCAGGCTAACAGTCTCAGTGTTCAGCCAGCGATAGGGAGTGTAGGGTCTTGCTGACCACACACCGCATCCACATCACCTTGGCCCCTGTTGGAGTTGCTTGTGCCCTGTTTGAACTCACTCGTACTTGCTTTCAATAATGTCCCGTGACTTGGACTTCCCCAGTAGAAATATGCTTCACATATTCTGCAGAAATTTGCTGTCCATCACTGTTTAAGCCTGAATCTCTCCTGACCAATGTCTCCATAGAGCATCAGTGCTAGGAGAGTGGGCAGGAAAGGGCAGGGTTATTAATTCATGTCTAATTATCTCCTACAAGAGTTCTTAATAGCAAAAAAACCCAAAACCCAGCCAACTGAAGTGCCCTGTCCATTGGCCGTTCTCCCACCTTGTTTTCCAGAGCCTCTGCTTTTTCTCCCACCCAGAGATGCTGGGTGGAGCTGTTTGGAGCTGTTGGGTGCCCTGGGACATGCATAAACGACTCATTCAGCGTGAATGATCCTTGGGGTGGGGATCACCTTGCCAACCTCTGGAGACTGATTAGTGCATTGAAAGATGGAGGTGCTAAAGGGCTTGCTATCTCTGTCCAGACAGCCAAGCTGGAAGCACTCTTTAAACAAATCTGTTGATAATGGCTGCTCTAAAGCACTCCACTGACAAAGTAAATAGCAATTAGTACGATTAGGGATTGACCCATAGCTTTGGTTAGCCTTGTTTACCCTTGTAGAAACACCCCTGGGCAATTTTCTCTCCTTATCGGGAGGGTCGTGGCTGCTTCTGTAAATTTGGAGACTGAAATTTAAAAATACAGATGTAGTCCAGTACCCCTCCAGCACCTAGAGGCTGTCACCAACATCAGTTCCTCCCAAGGCCTGAGTGTGGGGAGAAACAGGGCAACAAACACTGTTTTGGGAACTGTAAAGTTTTCTTTCAGCCCTTTTTGCCCAAGATGCATTGTTTTCCTCTCTTTTTCAAAGGGACTGTGGTGATTCCCTCTGGCAAATACAGTTCTGATAACATTTTCTGCAAGCCACCGTTGTGAGATGGCTGCTGGAGATGAGGGGTAGATTCCAGTCCCCTTAATTTTGTGCAAAGCGTTTGATTTTCACTTCGTGTTCTTCCTTGACAAAAGCTCTGCAGCCTCTTTTCTGCTCCAAGACCCTCTGTCACCAAAGGGTCCCCCAGCCCATGATCTGCCTGCAGGATCTGCTGGGGAGGTGCTCAGGAGTGACCATGCCTTACTCCAGAGTACCTTACTCAGGGCTTGCTCAAAGTCATGTCTAAAACAGGGATTGTCACCTCCTTTGTACCCCAGCATCTTGGCAGCTTCCCTGCTTCAAACTCAGATGCGTGATTCTAGCCTTTATAATCCCATCAAAGCTGCTTTGCTGTTGTCAGTCGAGAGGACTTCTCATTTTCATCTGTCCACATGCCAGACACTTCAGAAATGCCACCGATTTGTGATGTTTCTACTACAGAACTCTTTCTTTTCGCCTTTTTGTCGCACTGAGGCTTTGCACCGAAGTGGCTGTTACTGCACTGAGTTACCGCTGGCTTAACACAGGCAGTGATTCCACTCTAACCATAAATTGGTGCTTGTACAGACATCCAAGAAAGATCACCTCAGAGGACAAATTTTTTTATTGCTGTATTTCAGAGGATCTTTGCTATTCTGGATGTGAAAGTGAACAGACAAAAAATTTTATGTGTAAAAATTCAAAGTTTGTAGAAAACTGGTCTCTAAATTATTGTTTCCAACAGAAAACAGTGAGGACCATTGTGGGTCTTGCTAAGCATCCACAAGCTTAAATAAAACTAATAGTAAAATTTGCCTTGTACTCAGGGGAATCATAACTTCTTTTATTGATACTAAATGCACCTGTGCACCGTGCAAGACTTATTGAAACTAATTTTATTGTGAAGCAAATGTGGACATACAGGAGACCGTCTTCAAAATGTCATCACTTTAACTAATAGAAAGACTTAATTTAGGTTTGCGAGAGAATGCTTTACTCCCCACCACCCTTAAATGAAACTGTGCAGGTATAAAAATATCTGGGCACTGATTTTGCCTGCCTAAATTCTACTTAGAGCTTTGTGCCTACTGTTTCGTTTTCCATCAAATATCTTTGGATTCCTGGAAGCCTGTGAGTGAGAAACAGCAGGGATGGGGAGTGGGGTGCGGTTTGGTCACGCAGCTAGAGGTGGTAGTATCGCTGTAGGACATGAAAGCATCCTTTTCCACAGCCGAGGGATTCGCAGTCCAGATGTTGACGCACAGATCTTTTAAAGTGGTAACTGAAGGACACAGAGTCAGAGGTGAAATCTCATTTGGGAAAAATCTTGGAGCATTTGGCGAAAAGTTTCACTTTTTTTCTAGTAGAATTTTAGTTAGACTAGGGCATTTTTAATGGGAGTCATATCAAGGCATGCATTATCAATTTATTTATAGAAATCCTTAGTGTCTATAAATGAGAAAGATGAGAGTGACGGCTTATTATTTGAAGGCTGGAGATCTGGAATCAGAAGTTGCAATCTGGATCCTCTACTAAGTCATTTGCATTTGGGGTTGTGATGAAGGAGGAGAGCAATTCTCCTGCCTTGCGTGTAACCGGGTGGAAGTGGGTGACAGTGATGCAGTTGGGTGGGAGTTGCACCACCCCAGGAGCAAGCTACGTGCTCCCAAGCAGCGGTTTTCAGATTTGTGGAAAACTCTCTCTCTCGTTTTCATCTCGCTATTCGAAAAGTTTATTTTAAGTGGCCAGTTCCTGGTCGTCGTCTTTCCACTTGGATCCAGGTCTTTCCTCTCTCTCAGCCATCTCTCCATCTGCATGTTTTAACTCCCCCAGCTGCCTCTCTCGTCTCTTGTGCCATTTTTTTCAGCTCTCTTGGCTTCTCTCGTCTCTTTGCCTGCTGTGTATTTTAACTCCCAGGGCCGCCTTCTCTGCTCTCCAAGTAATTCAATGTTACCTCCCACTGCTGAGCTCCGCAGCGCGCCATTCTTTCCCCATGTTTCATGCATTTCCTGCTGCTTGGTCGCTCTGTTGAAGCAGCTAACATATAGAATCAATGTTTATTTTGAGACTACATATGCCATGCGGGGAACACGGTGTCAGTTATTTTGTGCAGATGTATTCTCATTTAAGTTTTATAAATAATATCTGTGTTGGCAACTTTAATACAGAAAAATATTGGTTTCACATCATCTATGAAACGAAAACGACTCATCTATGGGATGTAGCTGACTTGGGAGCAGACAATGGAAACTTCATTAGTACCTCCAGGTCACAGATGTGTGGGGACAACTACATCCACTGTATTAAGTTGGACTTCCAGCACCTCAGACATTTCCCTTTATTCAGATGCTTGTGTGGATCCTTTTGTCTGGTAGTTATGATGAAATCTGGGAAATGGCACAGGTTTCTCTCACAAAGCACCAGTTACACAGCCATCATCCAAGACTTCTCCAGTATTCTTTGTCCAACTCCCAGACCCTTGCAGAGCTGAAGTCACAGCTGGTCTATGTGTAGACTGTCCAGGTCTGTGTGTAACTGCAACCTCAGGTTCCCCTGTAGGCTGAGCTTGGTAGTTGGAGACCCCAAATCCAGTGATATTTGGTTCATGTGGTCTGGATAAGTGGTGGGCAAGCAGACCAAAGCTCAGTCAACCAGCAATGTCTACTGTGGACACTTTGAGCTAATAACTGGCAGCGGAGATAGAAGAACATAGGCTCTTCTTATCTCCTTATCCTAAAGCCTCTTCTCTGCCTCAATTCTGAAGCGCAGAAGGTCTGAGGATGGGTTCCAAGAGCTCATGAATGTCAGGCTAGACAAGAGGAGACCCTAGAGCCAACTGTGCAGTGTTTATGGAGGAGATATAAAGTTAGAACTGTTTCCAATGGGCAAGAGCTGAGAGAAGCAGGGACCAGCATAGTTGTGTCCCTGAAAGATGAATGTTTCTACTCTTTCTTCATCTCCACACCTGGCAGAGCTGCCACAGCATGTTAGCATCCTCATGTAGCAATTGCCAGTGCTGTTTTCCTGTAAACTCCATAAAGTTAGGGCACTCCCTGGCTAGACCAACATTACAGAGCTGCTCTGGCTTAGCTAAATCAGTCTAACTGTGAAAAATGGATTCTCTCAATGGAAAGCCAGTGCTCAGCCCATGGTTTTGTGGTGCCGGAAGGGTGTTCTCTTCAGGTTAAACCATGTTTTTCACTGCAGAAATGTGCGAGGACCTCATGTTCATGGCCTTCTGCTGGAGATACTGTCCTTCTGACAGTGTATGCAGAATGTTTCCTACAGGTGCTTTTTCTCCTTGTAAATGCAAAGTCTCTCCGTCCAGCTAAACCCTTGCTGAAGTTTGTTTAAACTAAACAGCTGCCAGCAGCGACACCTTAAACTGCTGTGGCTGTTTCCAGAGTAAACATTGAAACTGCTCCTTTAATTATGTCAATCAAGCAGAAAAATCCCCCAACCTCACTCTGTGTGCATCTGCTGTGTCCTCTGGAGGGGGCACTGGGGCTATAGCCAAGAGCAGGAGATGCTTCTTGACAAGGACAGCGGTGGCCTGGCTGGACAGGACAGCAGACAGAGCTACTGGTTGCTAGAAGAGCTCAGCATTCCCAAAGCGACACAAAATGAGTGAGAAAAGCCCAGAAACACCATCCGCAGATAGCAAAGAGACCTGATGGGCTCGCTGAAGCAGAGATGTGGTATGGTGCCGGCTCTGGGATGTTCTCAACAGAACTGGGATCTGGGGTAGGACAACCACCCCAAAGTTTGTTTGCACATTAGAGCGGAGTTTTGAACCCCGGGCTCTAAGGAGCCTGGGATACCCAGGATTTGGGATACCCAGAGCTTCAGCCTCCGGCGCTTTTCTTACCCTGTCAGCATCCTCGGCGTCTTGCAATGTATGTATTAGCTTTGAACCTGTTTATACCAAACACTACAAAAACCCCACAGAATCTGTCAGCTGGGAGACTTTGGTTAACTCCTGTCATATTTAGTTTAGCATCTGACACCTCCTTCTAGACAAATACAGCTCTGGTTCACTGAACCTGATAACTCCTTTTTAGTACAGCAACTGACTTCCATATGGAATAAATTACAGTACCTCTTGAAAAACGCCAGAGGCAGCTGCCAAATTATGCAAAATTTAAACCACTAATGAACAATGTGATGAAAGTTGAATGAAGGTGTATTTACAAGATCTACAACACACTGTCTCTGCAGAGCAGATGTACTGTCTGTATAAGTATGCGTGTGTCTGTGTATATACCTATGTACATGCACACTCATGCATATTGAAATGTTATCCGTGAGGTCTAGCTGTTTTAGGTATATCTGTTAGCAGTAAGTGCTACCTAGGATCAGTAAGCCAGAAGCTCCCCATCGTGTAACTGCCTTTTTAATATCTGCTAGGCAAGTCTTATAAAGGCAAATTGCAGAAAGAATAGGCATTAGGGAGTTCTGAAGGGGAGTAAAGAAACAAATCTTTACAGAAAAGAAGAGAAGAGGAGGGAAGCAAGCAAAAATGCATGTTCTTTGCCATCCAAAGGTTGACGTATAAATCCTTGGTGCCAAAGATTTGGCTTCTAAAGTTGGGAAAAAAAAACCCATACGTATTATTGACTTCCTGCAGATTTCCAATGTGAGACCTTCTCTTGGTGAAAACTTTTCAATCCCATGTTGTCTAATCTGAGTGCCAAGGTTTAGTTTACCAGAGCCTGGCCAGTTCTGTCCTGTGTACATGTAAAACTACTGCAAAACTACTGGTTTGCATGAAAATAGCTTGAAGTACTCAATTCAATAGCAGAATTATTGGTAGGCTAAGATAATATTTGCTCCTGTGAATATAGCAGCTTGCTTCAGAAGATGCCAATGGCAAAGCTGGAGTGCCAGGGGGATCTAAAAGTCCAGGCCTCCGCTTCCCTGATTGAACCCCTTGGCAGAGCACACAGCACAGTGTTGTAAACTAATTCACTCTTCAACAAATGAAGATTAATATTATTTATTTTTAAGCTGCTATAATACTCTGCAATTAAGCCCTGTGGAAATGTCTAATCATTCACTTCTGTTGGGGGGCTAATGGGTGAAAAGAGGGGTTTTGATTGCGTTTGGCAGCTAACAAAATGCAGCACGCAATATTTAACTTAATATTCTTCTGAGATCTGTGTCAAGAGCAAAGATCCTAGGGACAGAAGAAAAGTGGACCTCTTGACTAATTATGAGTCATTTATTCCGAACCACACAAATTTTAGAATCTGAATCCCAATTAAGACATTACACTACATGTGTTAATTAGTCCCCTCTCCTTTTAAATCAAGCCATAACTCTTCTTAATTAGGAGGTTAGCCATTGTAATTTGAACTGGCCTGAGTTTGAAGCACTCCTGGAAATCACACCTGGGGACTGTACCCGGGATCATTTTAAATTGGTTGAGTTTTTACTTGGGTGATTATAAGGTCCCCAACAGGGCAATAATTAAAGAGGGTGCAGCTTCCAAATTAAGATGTCAGGGGTGGCATAAGCAGTGATGTCTTCGTTCTAAACTGTACTCCAGGGAGGCTTGAAAGATGCTGGTCATATGATTTTCTCAGCAAGGGCTCTCATGGATCACGACAGCTTAAACAGGAGAATAAATCAGTTCCAGGAGTTGCCCCTCTGCATCCCAGGGACTAGTTATCACAGCTTATTGATGGCAATTCTTGAACATTGCATTTGTTAAAGAGTGTGGAGCAAGATAACCTGCTTTACTGAGTCGGACAAAATCCTTGTAGACTTCTGCAGGAGGTATATCATGCTCTATGCAAAATAAAGTAGCTAAATATTGGAGAACAGAAGCTTGACTTTCACAGCACAAATTGATAGGATCAACTCCGTCTCGATAGCTTATTAGTGAAGAGCTGAGATATCGGAGGAGTTAAGGCTCTGGATCTTGTTTTCCTTCCCCACTTCCCCCAAACCTTCTCAAGATGAAGACAGCTTTCAGCAAGCATTGCTAGCAAAGGGTGAAGAGTCTGAATGTTCAGACACACAGACAACGTACAGCAGGGTAACAAGTTCCCACACATCAGCTGCTCCGTTATAATTCATCAGGTGCGTGTTTGTAGCCTGCAGTAAACGTGGAGTAGATGGGGGTTGAGGTAGTCTGTTATCTTGCATGGGCTACAGGCACAGGCTGCGCTGGGAGATGTGTCTACAAAATCACATGTGCGTGTGCCAAAGCAGGCTAGCGGCGTGCCCTGAGGTGGCTTGTCTTGGTTTTGGTGGGTACCTTGTGAATGGTGCACATTGGATTAGAAATGCTTTTTAAAATCCCAGTACTGGTAACCACAGTGAAGTTTAGCGGTTAGTGTAATCTGATTATACCTTCCATGACCAAAAGAGAGCTCCTGTGTTATCATCCCAGTGGAAAAGCATTAGCTAGCAGATCTTTGCCCATGTTTGATGGCAGGAGACCATGGGACATCGGCATCCTCAAGATCAGGATGGACAGAGGAGAGATGCACATTGGAATGAAGGCCATAGCTGGTGACCCAGCAGCAAATCTGCTGACTCTTTGGATTGCTGATGTGCACTAAATATTCAAACAAGACTCACTATCAAGTTGCTGGTTTATATTCCCAGGTTTTTTCAGATTGGTAGAAAAAAATTGAATGAGAGGTGTCCTTTTGGTGTAAATAGCTCCAGAACAAACCCCTCAAGAATTGTAAACTGTCTGAGGTCCTGTGTCCTGAAATATACTTAACATGCCACCTTCTACCAGCTAAATGTTGTCCCTGTCATTTGGTGTTAATTGCATCAGAAGGGTCACTTAATGGGTCATTGTCAGAACCTAACCTTGCAGGTATCTAAAAGTGTTTGCTGTTAACAAGTCTTGAACTCATAAATATCCCTTGGGGACAGCATGTGTTAAAACGTCCTTATCACCCACTCTGCATATGTTTGATTTTTAACAAATTAAGGTATTGTCAAGTTTGCTACTTTATTACCCCATTAACAAAGTCGTGTGCATTTTTCAGTAGCACTGTGTGATAGGGCCAACAAAGTTCACAAAATCTCTCAAGAACCCGATTTCCTTCTGCTCACTCAACATGGTTTCCAAAGCCTTAATGCAGGTGACACCTGCGTGCGGTCAGATCACCTCATGTGCCATTTACTTCAGGATGAGATGGTTAGAAATGGCAGAAGCGTGTGTGAAGTGATCCTCTTTTAATTTGGGAGAAGTGAGCACTTAGGTTGGCAGATGCAAAAGCACAGTGTGCGGGACTCAGAATCTTTTGTGGGTGAACTTATTGATGAGCTACTAAGAAGGAAAAGAAGGAACCTAGATGAGTTAAGGAGAGGGAGACCAGCAGGTCTGCGTGGACTCCAGTGTCCATTTTGATGGTGACTTGCACTCACCTGGTCTATGAAATGGTCTAACAAAGCTTTTCCTTTCCAGAACATCACTCCTGAGGTCCCGTCCCCGGATGATTCTCCCAGTCCAAAGCCTTGTGTGCCTCGCTGCCTTTGGCCTGGCTCTACCCTTGGCCATCAGTCTCTTCCCGCAGATGTCCGAGGTCAGTACATGTCCGGTCACCATGGTGGGTTATCTCGGATGGGGCTTACTAACACCATTGCTTTTTTTGCTTTCCTGGATAATGGTTTCACTCCTATGGGGCCTCCTCCATTTTTGGATGAAGTCAGTTGCTGTCTTCTTCACTTGTTCAAGTGCAGATTCACTGGGCAGGTGATGGTTATGATAGTCCCTCCTATTAACGCATGCTAGCATAGCACAGGTTAATATTACATGGCTTTTCCATACTTCTAATCAGTGTTTGGATCATGTGGTGGAATGTACCTTCCAAATTAAGAGGAAGAACTGAGCAGGGAAATCTTTGTTCCACCCAGCAAAGGCACCTCTTACAGACAAGGGATGGTCATGTGTGATCCTCCTCCCTTCTATCACATCCGTTGTTCTCTCACAAGGGTGGTCTGCTCCAGACCTCTCCCATGTGGAGGACATTTAGACTGTATAGTAACAAAACCACCAGGGATTGGGGGACAACCAGATTGGAATAAGGTGGGTTTTTCAGTGTATGAGGATAAAGTTCTGCTTGCCTGATGGCCAGTCAGAGATGTGTCTCAGCTAGCATGGAGGGTATCTGGTCCCTCTTTAGTGATACCCAGGTCAGGTCAGATCATAAGTTAAGGGATGTTGGTGTTTCTTACTGTTGATTTCTGCTTTGAGACTCCAGCTGGGTTCGTCCTGTCTTGTCTGGGGACATGCGTTTAGTCAGAGCTGAGCTGCACTGGAGAGAACGTGTCTCAGCTCACCCTCTCCCATGACAGTGGTGTTTCCTTGGTGTTAACATAATGAAAAGTCTTTGTCCCTTAAGCAAAGAGCCTGGGATGTACATTTCATGTGGTTATACTTTTCCAGAGCTTCTTTGAGGGTTTTTGCCTTTTTGTCATCTAGCCTGGCTCTGGGAAGACACAACCTGGGGGGTGAGCAGAGGGAAGCTAGCCAAGGAAACAGACAGAATGACTAATGAAATCACTCATACCTAAGTTAGTTGAACAAATTGGTAAGGTGCATTTTTTTTGTAAGTCATTAATTTTGAGCGTTCAGTCTTCGCAGCTTATAGATTTGCAGATTGTAAATTTGTACGTTTACAGGGAGGGTCACTATTATAATGTGGTAAAACCTGTATCAAACAGAGCAAAGGATTTGCTGAAGTTCTTTTTGCTCCAACTAGAACAGTTCATCAGAAATTGGTATTGCAGTCTCTGCTGGTTAATTCCATTTTTATGGTCTGGATGGATTTATGCCCAACTTCTAGCCAGGGAGTCATCTTGTACACTTGTCTGCTAAGACTGAAAAACCTCTTACAAATTTTCTGTTGTCCTTCTCGCTGTTTACAGGCTGAGATAGAACTATCCCTTAATCTTCTCTTTAAGAAACTGAATATATCTCAATCTTTGAGTCTCTTGCTAAAAGACGTGTTTTCTGAAGCTTTAATGATTCATATGTCTCTTCCTTAAACTTTTTCTAATTAGTCAACATCCTTTTTGGAGCACTTCCATAAGAACCAGACACAGTATTCCAGTAAGAAGTTGCACAAGTACCAGTTGCAAGAAGCAATGTGATTTGCTGGCTTCTACTTGAATTCATACATCCAGAGAGCATGTTAGTCATTTTGGCATGAGCTCAACCTTAGCTCCCTGTCCATCAGTTTCCTGTTGTGATCCCAAGTTCTGCTTAGAGGTTGTGGTTATGAAAGACTGAGGAGTATTTCCAGGTCTCACACCTGTTCAAGGTACACGCCCAGAGTATGTCCAAAGTTCCTGTTGGAAGGAGACTTGGACATAGATCATCCCTTATGGTCCTATTTCCAGGGAAAGGAGCGTCTACCCATCAGAAGGTAGCTATGGGCTTTGCTGGGAGGTTTCCTTTCAAGATAGTCAAGGAAGCAAAACCACAAGAGGTACCACCAACCTCATTTACCTTGAAGGTGACGTTGCCACCGTTCTCCCAAAATGGTGCCCCATACCATAGGTGCACTATTTGTATCCAGAGACGATTTTATGTTTGATCATAATACATTGCACATTGGCTTCTTTTCTACGTATCTAGAGGCCTCTGGATCAGTGGCCTGGCCTCTTAATTATTTACCACTTTCCCAGACTTTGTGTCATCTCAAGCCTTAAGCAACAGTCATTGTGTATTTTCTCCCTTCTCACTGACGATGCACATGTTTAATAGCGTTGGCCAAACCGAACCATTCCTTCAACAGAGACAGGAAACTCACCCTACAATTCTGATTTGTAATTTAGCATTTTGTACATTTCCAGTATTTTCTGTAGGCATTGCTTAGCATGGGCTTCTCTGAAATAGTGTCTGCTAAGGTCAACGGGAACTAAAGTCTTAGTACCAGAATCTGAGGCATTCAGAGTTAAACACTTTGGGCTCTACGGAAATAATTATTCATTGCCTTAGTTTCTTTATCTTAAAATGAAGCTTACAAGATCTTTTTGCCTTTTGTATCACAGATTTGTGACAGATAATTTGTAACATATAGTATCTGATATTGCCGCTTGAGAAAACAGCTGAATGAATTCTAGCCCACAAGGAAAATTAAGGTCTGGCTTCCTTCAAGGGATATTCAAATTGCAGGCATCAGGCAATACTGAAACCATACACCATCACTTGAAAATGACCTTCTAAAAGCAGATGAAATGTTATCTGCAGTGTAAACATGAATCAGCGCTGATTAGTAGATCAAACAGAATGACGTGCTCTCTGCCCACGCTTCATGTCAATGAAGAGAAACCATTACAGCTGGTGGTATAGCTCATTACCTACTGGGGTCTCAGCTCCACTCAACTGGAGTTAGCTCCACGCGCACAGCTGGACCTCACATCTGTTGACACCAACGAATCAGGTTCTCCGTAGCAGCCTGGTGTGATCATTCTTCCAGTTATGTGTGCATCTATTAGAAATGTGTGTGAGTCTGTATAAAAGCTGTTCCTCCCGTTCTGCCAAATCTCATCGAGATCTCAGTGGTCAGTGACTGTGGGAATGCTCAAGTGAGGAGAGCAAGTGATTTATCTGAAACAATTTCTCCAGAGCCACTTCTTCCACAGTCTTGGATGGGAAATGTGAGTTTCCTTGCAAAGAGTGGTTCATAAAACGTGTCACTTCTTGGTCACTCATCACTGGTCCATGAACTTGTCAGGTAACTAAGTTTAAGAGACCTTGACTGTTTGAACATCGACCTTTCTATATATGTTTATGCATGTGTATATATGTAGGCATGTATTTGCTTTTTCTCATAACCACAGTAGGTGAAGCAGCTATGAACATAACGTGACTGAGATGATGCTGTTGTAATGAGCACCACCCAGGGAGTAAATTATTAACAACAAGATGTAATAGGCGTGTTCTGTTCCAAAAATATGATTATGGTCTGAGCAGCAACCCCTTTCAGGAATTGTAAATGAGCCAAATTCTGCCCTTAATCACACATTCACAGTCCTTTTTCTTTAGTCAGAGAGCAAACACAGAAGCTGAAGTGTTGGTATGTGCTTGTTTTAGCATGGGAGCTTGACTGGCCGCCTTTGATCCACTCTTCTAAAGGGGCTCAAGTTTACAATTAGTTTTCAAGCAGAATTGAAGCCTCACAATAGATTTAATAAATGTGCTAGGTAAATGCAGCTACCTTATCACATCACTTCTGGCTGCTTCAGAGTTATACCTGTTTTAAAGTAACATAAGAGAAAACGGAATTCAGCTCTGGTTGCATACAGCAACACCAATATCAACTAAATGAAAATTCTGGACCTGAACAACCTTCATGTGCTGGGAAGAATAATGCATCCAGATCTTCTCTTTGGGCAGTATTTATTTTAGCTAAGACCTCATACCTTCCTCGATTTTGTATAGATGGAATCCACTTTGATGTCTGCAACGGTGCTCCAGAATTCTAGCTTCTAGTTAGATGCTGTGGTTTTGAAGATCACCTTATAAAAATAAAACCCTAGTGTCAGCCACAAAGACCTGGGTCCTTGTGAGTAAGCACGCTTAAGATGCTGAAAAATACACTCTTCATCCTAATACAGTGTTAACTCTGGTACCCAAATACATCAATATGCATTAAGTAATCCGCTGCTGTTAAGTTTAGGAGAAACATCTAGTTAATGCATTTAGCCCACAACCTCCAACTGCCTCCCATGCCCCCCGGGGAATCTCTTTTCTAGCTGCCTATCCTACAGCATCCCCACTGACAACTCCTACTCAGCTATGCACTGCCAATAGAAACAGCTGTGACAGTTCCAAACTGAAAATGGGACTTGTGCAAATGAAATTCAGTGTAGCAGCAAAAGAAATAACCATGGGGTTGCTTCACCGACTTTTCCACCCTTTGGTCCCTGCTCATCCAGATCATTCACTTTTCAGCATCCAAGAGGATGTTGTTGAACTTCCAGGGTGCTGCAAACCCACCGAAACTTGCCTCATCCCATGCCTAGTGTGCTGGATTGTGCTGATAAAGAAGGGTAAACTCAGGTGAGGAATGGAGCTGAAGCAAAAGCTGATGGCAGAGAAACCCTTCCACTAGCTATAAGACACATGCCCTCACCGTAGGTTAGGTTTAAAGGGCCTTGGTTGCTGGTTAGGGCAAAACAAGCCGTCTTCCGGAATTAGGCTGATTTCAGCTAAACGCCTTTTCTCAAAAATAATCTTCCTTTTGGATCTCCAGGACAAGGGGAATAAACAGCCTAAAATCCAAGGCTGAGCTATTGTTTTCCAATCTGTTTTAGCCTTCATCTTGTTGGCAGGCTGCTTTAGAAAAGCAAAAGGTTAATGAGCCAATGTGCAGTGGGATTATTGCAGTAAAGATGACAGTGAACCAGTAATTACTAATTAGATGCAGTTTAACAGGAGGAACAAGTGAAATCTCCTCTTCACCAACTGTCAATAATTAGCAGATTTGGTGAGGTTGAAATGTGTCCACAGTTAAAAGGCTGATTTTTTAATGAAATGGCACTTGACAAAAGAGCTGTATGGAGGTCACAGCCA